GATGAATTCTATTTATTCAAATTTTAATAGCTGTAATAGTTTTGTACGTATATTTTTAGAAAAACAAATAGAAAAATAATGATTATTGAAATCCATTTCAGGTATGTATTTATTAGATAAAAATGCTCACGGCTATAATCCTTTATGGGCTATTAATTGTTTTTTTTTTTTTCGGAAAATAATTCAAAATATACACATATAATTTAATGTATTTTTTTTTCTTTCATTTCATAGAATTATATTTTTTCCGGTTAACGACATAGTTTTGGTGATGTTAATATTACTTTTGGTATATTTTTCTTAAAAAATATTAATATGCATTTTATTTAAAAAAAAATTATATAATATTAAGTTGTAAATTTCAAATAATTGCAATTTTTTTGTTAATATTTGAATCGTATTAATGAAACAAAAATGTTATTTAAAAATAATAATAAAAATTGAAAATAATATAAATAAAAAGAAATTAAATTATTAAAATAGGCATTATGTAAATGTGTATATTTTCCATTGACCGTAACCAGCCCTGTAATATATCAAACATAATCATAAGGGGGGCGCACGCGCATGAAAATTCGCCGCGTCGGAAAGTCGGGCGCGCGCGTCTACCGCCACCGAAGATATCCCGTGGCGAGTTCAAAAATAGTTTGCGCTCGGCCATTCGATGCATACAAAAGCGGCCAGTTGTTCCAACACCTCGCCTTATCAAATTTCCAAGCCTACACCCAGAGCCCACGCACCAAAAAACCAGCTCATGCATTAGTATGTTAGCACCAAGCATTGTCCACTTCACGACACGAACACTGCCCGATGTATTAATCGATTAAAAAGCACTCACTTACACAAAGGCACTAAATCACTGGTTAAGTTTAAACGCGACGTGGACGGTGCGCTCGCGTCCCCGGCGCCTGCCACAATCAAACTGCTGTGAGCGGACCCTACCTACCGACCAACGCTCCAAAAATATCCATCATTGTGTACACAAAACTTATAATACCTAGGCTTTAGTATAAATCTTTGCAAACTTTATAAATAGTTAGATACGAAGGTATAACAGCGGTGCTATTGATCCGATTGTCCGATCGTCTTTGACGGTCGATAATGCTAACGGATCTATTGGAAATTTATTACGATATTTGTTACATGTCACGTTTCTACTTACAGTATTTTTAAGTACAGCTGAAATTATGTATAACAAGTTATATCCTGCGACTTTGCCTGCGTAAATCATTATGTGAAGTATCCTATGTTTTAAATTAGGATATAATCTATTCGAGCGTCAAATATCTTTCAAATCGGTAGAGTAGTTTTTTTTATGCAATTTAGAATGGCAAATAAACTGATGGCCCATAGGATGCAAAGGGGTAACCGTTGCCTATAGATATGAACAGTATCATGCACATAATATTCTAAGTTGCATAAAAAAAATATGTGAAACAATAAAAAAAATCGTTGTACTGTTAAGATATTTATTATTATTATTTCAGCCGTTAACTGTCCACTGCTGGACATAAGCCTTCCCCATAAGGGGAATTTTGCCAGTAGTTGCCACACTTGGCAGGCAGGTGGGCAATCGCAGTTAGGCTTTTAGAGATGTTTTAAGAGGGACGCTGCTGCCTATTCCTCGCCCTCCCTTAGTCGCCTCTTATGACACCCACGGGAAATGTAGGGGCGTCCCATTCTATGCCAGGGCATACTCGACGAGTTTTTTTTTTGTTAGATGAAATTGGATTGGAAACTCTGCCTGCGCTAACGGGAAACGCTTGCGGAGCACCAGTGAAGGGTGATCGATGAGAATGAAAACAGGCAGGTTAGCCCATCATGATGAATCAGGAATTAACCATGATAGTTTTCAGGGGGATCTGGGTGGAGGTCGACCTGGTTAGGTATATTGCTAGCAATGAGACTTTTAGTCTTCATTACTAACGATTTGGAAAATGCTTTTTTCATCTGAACGGATACAATTACAGATTGGTCTCATAAAAAAATAGATAATTTTTTTAGCAAAATTTGTAAACTTTAAAAAGAATTTTAATTTTTTTACGCTACTTAGAATTGCAGACAGCCCACCTTGAAATAATAGGCATGAGCAGTACCATGATTTTGTTACTATTGATATCCCACCCTTCAAACCGAAACACAGCCATGCAAACACAACTCTTTTGCGAATGACACAATTTTAATTATATTTATTATGTTTGTTATAACTCCGTCAGTTTTAAACCGATTTGGAAAATGCTTTTTTCATCTGAACGAATACAATTACAGATTGGTCTCAAGATTTTTTTTCATATATATACATATATTAAACTAAAATATTATTATTGCGTCAGAATAGATGGACGTGTAATATTAAACTGTCAATATGTATAATATAAATTCCTTCACTATTCAAGCTATTTTTTTTTAATGGGTGATAATGGAATAGTAACTCCACCCGCGCTATCGGTATACACCGGCGGGGTACCAGTGAAGGATGATACGTGAGGATTAAGCAGGTCAATTAGCCCATCGTGACGAAATGTTCACGATGGTTTCCAGGGGAACCATTTGGAGGTCGACCTAATAGGGCGTATTGCTAGCAATGGGGCTGTCAAACTCCATTGCTAACAATCCCTTTCCCCCCTGTTCAAGTTATTAGACACTGGAACAAACTCCCGCTTGACATAAGATCTACCCTTAGCAAGCCAGCTTTTAAATACATATTGCGCACCTATTTCTTAGGAAAATTAAAATTACTTTTCCTTTATGCATTTTCCGCTGGTTACTCTGTTTGAGTCATAGATTACTATTTGCTCTTCTATTGCAGTTGTTTAATTATTATATATAGTAATATTTTATGTACTTATTGTATGTATATATTTAATATATATGTATGTATGTTTATATTATATGAATTTATCAAGAATTGCTTTATTTTTTCTCTATTCAAAAATGCACCGTATATAACTACCGTATATAACACCGTAATACGTAGTATTTCTCGATTTACCCAATGGTTGACTGGTAGAGAACGACGTTCGGTGTTAAGTCCGCCAAATGAACATAGAATTTTACTGTGCATTAAAGTTTAAATAATTTAATATGGATGGCTAATTTAATTAAACAGAAATTTAATCAAAATGTTAACAAAATGTTAACTCTAAAGAAATGAAGATGCAGTGATGCAGCTAACAGTAATTAATTCAACCGTTATTTTCAAACATCTCAGTTTAGTATTTTACAAGTACAATATAATTACTCATATCCAAGGTGATATGCTAAGTATGCTAAGGGCGACTACATCAGAATGATTTAACTTTGATGGCGGCAAAAGAGGTTCTCGATTTACCTCATAACTTCGTCAGTTTTTTTTTATACAACATAGAATGCCAAACAAGCGGACGGCCCACCTGATGGAAAGTGGTAACCATCGCCTATAGACATGAGCAGTACCATGGACAACAGAGTATACTGTTTCGCCCATGATACCCCCATGCGTTGCCATTTCTGAGAACTCAGGTGTTATTCCTCTGTACCCAGTAAATACACGTCATATCCCACCCTTCAAACCGAAACACAGCCATGTAAACACAACTGCTTTAAGGTTGAAACACAAATAGGACAGAGGTACCCAAGCAATCGACTTTTGTGCAAAGTCTCCCTCTGGTATAAACCAATTTGAAAAATTCTTTTCTTATCTGAAAACATATACTTACAGATCGGTACAATAGAAATCTTATGTTATTTGTAATTCTGTTACGTGAATACGTGGCCAAATCTAATATATATATTAATAAATAATAATAATTTATAAATTTATTCTTTAAATCGATAAAAAAATTTCAATCGATATTATTTGTTTCTTCAGTGGTTGTATGATAATTTTTTTATGATTGAAGCTACCATTCTTTTGTCAAAAAGCGAATGTAAAAATGTTTTTTTTTTTTTATAAAATGTTATGTTTACAGGCATCCTTATTTTTAAACAAATGAAGATATGCGGCTGTTGAGTTTTCAACACGATAAATCGTCGCACCACCTACACAATTTTAATAGAATAATTAAAGTTTTAATTACAAGCAAACAGTTGCCTCAACTATGAAATGTTTTATAGCAGCTATTAATATTAACTGAACAGTAGTAGTAACCCAAAGGATTTAACTATCACAGTGTCATACACCTTAATACCATCTATTATTCGTGAAATACTGCCATCTCACATTTCAAAACCAAAATGCAAGCATTGATGTTTAGGAGTAGAAATATGAGTGGGACAGTGATGCCCATCCAGACGAATTTTATATAGTCTCTCTCTTGATATGAATCTTTTAGTTTATATATTGGCCATGTGTACCCCGGCATAGAAAGAGCCGCCCCCTTCCTTTCCCGAGGTGTCGTAAGAGAAGAATAAGGGAGGACGAGGGATGGGCAGCAGCGTCCCTCTTAAAATATCTCTAGAAACCTTCAAGAAAAGAGCATATTCCCTTTTAAATGGTCAGCAGCATACCTACAGAGGTAAGCCGCATACTCGTTTGCCCCCTATGTTGTAAAAAAAGCCTAACTGTGGTTGCCAACCCACCTGTGCCTGTGAAGCGTGGCAATTACTGGCAAAACTCCTTATGGTTCCAAAAGGCTTATGTTCAGCAGTGGACAGTTAACGGCACAGTTTATAAGTTTCATAAAAATTGACAAAATCTGATACAAAAAATCTTTTGTTTTGTATCTATAAATAAAAGTTAACAATGAAAAAGTAAAATAATATAATAATGTAATATATAAGAGGTAACTTTCCCTACTCCGTACATTGGAAATAGATAGTTATAAAATGAATGATGTAATATTATTCAACAATTTCGTATAATAAAATCCAATTATATACACAAATACGAGAAGGCCATAATTCCATTTCAAAAATCCAGGCGACCTAAATTTGAGACGCACGACATGAAATAAATTCTCAAACAAAGAAGATTTTATCAAAACATCTCACTGCTGTGACCTCGCCGTAATTTTAGCTGCAAAAAAAAAGAATAATACCAAACGTCAAATTACTCTTCATTAATGTCAAGTTAAAATTCTGCTAAAAGTTAGAAATGATTATATAATAATATTTAAAAATATAAATAAAAAAAAAAGAATCATGTGAGATAACGAAATTGAAACTATGTTCAGTGTCAGAGGTTTCATCGCGGTAATGTTGAGAAGCGCTTTCATTGTTGCTTTCCTCAGCATCCCGAATCCTGTCGTCGCTTTCTCGGGCCTCAAGAACTGGTCCAGGAAAGCGTTGTACCACAAGATCGACCTCTGCACACAGTCCTGCTACAGTGAGATCATTCCTGGTCTCTACCTCAGCAATGCCAGAGCAGCTGCAGACAAGTCTGTGCTCAGATATCTTAACATCACCCATGTGCTCACGATTGAGGCTCGTCGGCTGCCGAAATCCACTTTTGTTGGTTCCAACATTTGCACGCTCTTCATTAGGGCCTACGACACTCCTCAAACCAATCTTCTGTCCTACTTCCCAATGGCCAATGCCTTCATTGACGAAGGACTGCAGAAAGGGAACGTGCTTGTCCACTGCCATTTCGGAGTTTCCCGGTCTGCCACTATTGTTATTGCGTACCTTATGGAGAAGTATAAATTAACTTTCGAACAGGCTTACTCCTACGTCCGGCAGAGAAGAAGGTTCATAAACCCTAATCCTGGATTCGTCAGCCAATTAAAGGAGTACCAGAGATTGAATTATGACGTTAATGGTTTCCATAGGTTTGAAGCTTACATGAATGTGAATGCGAGGAAGCATAAATACAAAATAGTGTCCCTGGCTGCAGTTATGGTTGGATTATTAGTACCCATTGTTGTCCTGGTTGGTTGAATCAATAGATATAGTGAAAATCGTGTATAAGTAGAATACATATTTTTTTCCAATCAGAAAAGAATTTTATTATATTCACTTTTCAGTTAATATTTCGGTTATCGTTAACTGTTCACTGTTATACATAGGCCTCCTCGATACGGAAGGTTTTGCTAGAAGTTGTCACGCTTGGCAGGCAGATTGGCAGTTAGGCTTTTGCGGTGTTTTAAGAGGGTCTCCCTCGACCATTGAGTTCCTCTAATCGCTTCTTGTCGACATCCACTGGAAAAGAGGGGATGCTTATTCTATGCCAAGAGTCCATAGTCAATACCAATAGATATTTGATATTATTCGAATTTATCCTAATATCATAAATGTGAAATTTTGAAAAGATGATTGTAGTTGTTTGCATGTTTGATACTCAAACAGACTTAACCGCTGAACGGAATTTAATTTAATTTCGTACATATGTAGTATGTTGTAAAGTAACATATGTTAAGGCTCGTGGCCTTGTAAACTAGTACCATGAATAATATAATACTATCCAGTATATAAAGTATTTGTTAAATTAGGATGCACTTTATCTGTGTATAAAGTTTTCAATTAATTCCGTTCAACTGTTTAAGCGTGAATGAATAACAAACATCCAAACATCTTTACAAACTTTAACATTTACTAGAGAGAGACTTTGTACAAAAGTCGTTTGCTTGGTCACCTTTGTCCCATTCGTTTTTCTATCGTGAAGCAGTTGTGTTTGCATGGCTGTGTTTCGGTTTGAAGGGTGAGATATGTCAGTGAATTTACAGAGTACAGAGGAATAATACCTGAGTCGTCATGAATGGCAATGCATGGGGGTTATTATGGGCATAACAGCTCAGTTATGTCCATGATACTGCTTATGTCTGTAGGCGACGATTACCACTTTTCATCAGGTGGGCCGTCAGCTTGTTTGCCATTCTTTAAGTTGTCCGCTTTTTCGATCACCATTTTAACAGTCAACGATCACTATATTGAATCAACAAAAATCTTTTTAACCCACGTTAATGACAATTACAGTAGTAGTTGTGTACATATACGACTATGTTATTGAATATATAATGATAATGGTATGGTCAAAATATATGGTATGGTAACCCCGTCCGCTATCGGTATACAATGGCAAGTTTAGATGATGACCAATGAGGATGTAAATTAATTGGTCCAGAGATTATGATTTAAAATGGAATGTGTGATGGTCCAGGGGAACCACGTAAGAACAAAGTATATTGCTAGTATTGACATTTTTACAAAATGTAATCGATTTTAGTACAGCCCAATTTTAACTAGTGACATTTTGTTTGAACTGTGTTTCGATTATTTCAGGATAAGTCACTCATCAAAACACCTTCATAAAATGGCAAATTCAGATCATACGACAGAGTAATAACGACTAGAGTTACAACAGGCAATGTTGCCAGGTTTGATAATTCTTACACATTTATAGGTAAAAATTTGTGTGTGAAATGTTTGGAGGCAAAATGGTTTGGGAAAATTTGATTATTTTTACCTATATATATTATAGTGAAGTATAAATACGATAAAATATACTTTAGATGATAGGAAGTGTACAATTAATTGGTCACAGAGATTAGATTTAAAATGGAATGTGTGATGTGATCCACGTGAATAAGAACAAAGTACTATAACAGGCTAATGACACCACAAAATGTAATCGGTTTTAGTACAGCCAATTTTATCTAGTGACATTTTGAACCGATTATTTCACAAAGTCACTCATCAAAACGTCTTCATAAAATGCAAATTCAGATCATACGACAGAGTAATAACGACTATAGTTACAACAGGCAATGTTGCCAGGTTTGATAATTCTTACACATTTATAGGTAAAAATTTGTGTGTGAAATGTTTGGAGGCAAAATGGCCTTGGGAAAATTTGATTATTTTTACCTATATATATATATATTATAGTGAAGTATAAATACGATAAAATATACTAATGAAGGTAGCTAAACAGAACCCAACCGAGGTTAAGCGTAAGAGACAGCCTTTAAAGTTCCGTATTATTCGTTCCCTTGTGTTTACATTGGGTAAAAGTAAAGTAATATTAGCGATTTGGAAAAAATATCTCACTTTTAGGTAAAAATAAAAAATAACATCTGGCAACGCTGACAACAGAGTAGTTTACGAGTAATCTATTAAATTTATATATCTTTCTATTACAAGAGGGAGACTGAACAAAAGTCGTCTGCGTGGATACCTTTGTCCTATTCAAATTTCTGTCAACAAGCAGCCGTGCTTTCATAGCTGTTTCGTTAGAAAAGTTGGTATATTACATTGAACTTTTATGATATGGAGGACGGAGTCCTCAGGAATGGAGGACGATAATGGATTGTTCTCATGGAATGGAAATGCAGGTACAATGATGTCCATGGTACTGCTCATGTCTATAGGCTGCAATCAGGTGGGCACATGATTGCTTGTTTGCACATTCTAATGGGTTTTATAAAAAAAAAATATATTTTAGTTACAATATCTGTATACTGGTCCATTAACGAATATGTTAAAAGTCTGTTATTCATAAAATAATATTGAATAACTGACTTTTAACATTTTCGAAAATATTCCACCACTATGTGGAAAGCAGCTATGTGGTCACATAACTCGAAGAACCGACAACCGATTGGAAAGAAAGGTTCTTGAGTGGCGACCGCATACGGGCAAACAGGCAGTGTGGGACGACTCCTCACTAGATGAAGTGACGACCTGAAATGCATTACAGTGGATGTAGATGAGGCTCGCACAGCTGGAGATCATCTCGAGCTAATATCACCTAGTTCACAGGTTAGCAAGAAAGACCAGGAAATATTCGAGATTAATATTGATTTATAATGTGTCAGCTGTTATTGCAACTAATTGAGTACGTTGTTGCACTAGCGATAGCAACAGAAGCGCCATAGACTGAATGCTTTGTATGTAAATGACCACGGTAACAGCGTCGCGAGTTCAACGGTTTTTCCCTATCTCAATAAATGACCAACGCTCCTAAAGTTTTTATTTCAAAAAAGGGCCCTACGCTGCGCTCAAAAATATCACGCGAACGAAGTCGCGAGATAAATTAATATTCAAGCCCTAAACGTCACATCAATTGCAGATTATATTTCACAGCAAAATCACTAAAGATATGATTGCGAAATATTCTTAACGAAACCCCCACATCGTGTGTACATTATCAAGCAATTTCAGTGCCAAGCTCATATCTTTGGTTTCCTCCTACTATTAATTGGCACAGTATTTTCGTATAGCTAAATATACTGAGAGGTTGGTACAGGTGCACGGATCTACACGCTCTCAAATATCGGTTACTCGATGATGTTTTTACACTTATTGGCCAGCTGGGACGTGTTTTTTAACGAAATGGTATGACAAACAAGCCAATGGATTGTCAGTACAGGGACTATTGGGCTCATTACTAGTACTATCTTGTCAGGTCGACCTTCACGCGGTACCCTTAGAAACAATCGTGATAAATTCCTAATAAATTCGTCGCTATGAACCAACTGATCAGATATTCATGAATAGAATAGAATTTAAATAATCTTTATTGAAACATCCTTGAGTTTTGAAGCCTGATGCTCTGTAAGACAGGTTCTCTTAAAAAGATTGTTTTAAATTGTTACCTATGAAGCTATAAGTTTTATTATGTTGTTATTTTGTGAGAGAAATAATGTTTACTTGCTTACTTACTAAACAGACTTGTTTACAAACTCTTTTAAATCATCCATTCTTTATGATTCTAATGCTGGATTCGAAATGTTGTAATGTGCTGAGAAGAATTCGCAAGAAACTCAACACTTACTCTTGTCAAATTACATTTTATGTAGAAGATAATTTTATATCTGCATGAGTGCTGCGACTATATATAGCATTAACTTCATGCTCTCTTGTTTTCTCCTACTGGGACTACTATCCCCATGTATCAACCCTGTTTGGTATATCGCTAGTGTTTCTACCGTAAAGCAGTTGTGTTTGCATGGCTGTGTTTCGGTTTGAATGGTGGGATATGGCGTGAATTTACAGGGCACAGAAGAATGACACCTGAGTCCTCAGAAATGGCAACGCATTGGGGGTTTCATGGGCGAAACAGTATACCCTGTTATGTCCATGATACTGCTCATGTCTATAGGCGACAGTTACCACTTTCCATCAGGTGGGCCGTCAGTTTGCTTGCCATTCTAAGTTATATAAAAAAAAAAAGTTATAGAATGCGATTGGAGTACAATAAATTCGTTTTTACTTTTAAAAAACCGTTTCTGATAACTTCTGTAATGTAAAGTTTCTATCATGAAGAAGTTTTTTTTTTTTTTAAAGAAAGAGATTCTAAATACGACTGTATTCTTTTTAATGTTTGTTATCTCATAATTTCGTTACTTATAAATCGACTCAAAAATTCTTTTTTTTTCTGAAAGTATATACTTATAGATTGATTCTATATAGACATTTTATCAAAATTGGTTTATCAGTTTAGTTTTTATCAAAAATAACTGTTTTTGTCACAATTGAAATCGGTTTTGTTTGTGGCACACAATCTTAAATTTTTGTGCAACTTGAATTAACAAATAGACTACCTACTCCATAAAAACCGTAAAACGTCACAGTATAAACGTGACACTGTAGGTATACCAAGCCGCTACGCAAGCATGATAACAGTACGAATAGGTTTTTTTTTTTAATGGGTGAAAATAGTATTTTAACCCCGCCTAGCACCAGTGAAGGATGATAGTTGAGAATGAAAACAGGCCAGTTAGCCAATCATGATGAATTCATCAGGAATTAACCATGATAGTTTCCAGGGAGAACCGCGAGGAGGTCGACCTGGTTGGATATATTGCTAGCAATGGGATTCTCAGTCTCCAGTACTAACAATCCCTTTCCCCCCAGTACGAGTAGGTTAATTCCACCTTATCTGAGAAATGACTTCTAGTCAATAATAAGACATTAATGGGGTATTATGTATGGATATAGCTCTGTAGGTCCCGGCATAGAATAGGCCACCCCTTCCTTTCTCATAGGTGTCGTAAGAGGCAACTAAAAGAGCTTATAGTGGAGAGGTGGGCCACAGCATCCCTCTTAAAACATCATCAAGGCCTGAGTTACCAACCTGCCTACCAAGTTAGGCAACTTAGGAGGATCCCTTATGGGGGATGAAGCAGTGAACAATTAACGGTCGATACAGCAAATGTATGGATATGAAGGTGCATTATGGACGCATGACGCATAGTATTATTTTTAACCGTCTCCACGCGTCCTTTGACTGACGGGCTGTGTCTGACCCATATACCTATTTGTATTCTGATCTTACTTAATAAATTCGATGATCTAATTGTGGATGTGAACTTAAAAAAAAAACTTATATTTACTCATCTGTGAATGGCGCCCACAGGTGTCAAGAGTTTCTAGGTCGCCTCCGCTTATTTTTTTAACTATCTTCTTTTAGAAAATGACGGTTTTAATAGAGTTAAAATAAATTTGTAGTTTGTTTCAAATGAATTATAGTATATGAAATGGTAGCCGAGTTTTGTTACAATTACCAAAGAAACGCTCTCTAAATGACATTCATCATCATCATCATTTCAGCCGTTACCTGTCCACAGTTAAACATAGGCCTCCCCCATAGACTGCCACAAGGAACGGTCCGGAGCCACTTGGTAAATTACATTAGTAGTAAATAATAGTAATAAATGCCACACAATCATAAAAATGGCCGTGCGGTCCCGGCATAGAGTTTGCCTACTCCATAAAAACTGTAAAACGTCACAGTATAAACGTGACACAGTATACCAAGCAACTACAAGCAAGCATGATAACAGTACGAATAGGCTAATTCCACTTTTTCTGAGGAATGACTTCTAGTCAATAATAGGACATTAATGGGCTATTATGTATGAATATAACCATGTAGATCGCAGCATAGAATAGACCATCCCCTCCTTTCCCATGGATGTCGTAAGAGGCGACTAAGAAAAGGCAGGCAAAAACCTGGGCAGAGTGCAACATTTGAGAGACTACAATTGCAAAATTAAGTTGTAAAAAATATAAGGATACATTATGCAGTGAACAAAATTGAAAAAAAAAATGTGCAAAATGTAAAATTTAAGGGACAACGTACAATGAGCAAAATTAAGGAAACCATTGGCAGTATGCAAAATATATTCGTTCTAGATCATTCGTTATTGCTTTACATTAGAGTGGTATAAGAACCATTAGTGAAAGTAACGTTTACGCTTGTCAACATTTTTATAATAGACCTATTTTATTGATACCGTCTGTTGGCAACATCCGAAATAATATGGTTATTTTAACGCAACAGTGACGAGATCACGCGGTATGCAAACGGCGACTAATATATTTCTGTCTCGGTATTATAGATTTGAAGAGTAGTATTGATATTTTCGAAATATCCACTCTTGTATTATCAGTTTTTATTCTTTAAAGAATGTTCTCGCAGTTTCTCAAAGAGTTTAACAATTACTAGATTACCAATTGTATAATTTTTTTTGTATGTAACGTAATTCCTTTGTAAACTAAGTATCCAATTTTCCCCTTAACAGAATGTTATTATCCTGATAAAATTCATACCACGTTGGGCAGTATGATGGATTTCCTAGTTTTGTGGTAGACAATGAACAAATAATTGTCTTTTAATAAAAAAATTGCTTCCGTATATTTGACAGAAAATTATGAAGTAAAAAAACAAAAGAAGAACAGTGACTCATGAAATAAAAAGAATGTATGGCTATTAACAAAGGTTAATAAGATTGCAATCTTCAACATGCCCCCCGGCCGTTGAAAACTCTGTCTTTCAACCATCTTCTTGGTCAAGGAGAGGACATATCCGAGAAAATTATCTCCTGATAATTAAGTCATAAACGTCGACCACGATATCGACATCTTTAGTAATTCCTTAAAGCAGTTTATTAAGCTTATTAATAATATGGATTAATGACCAAGTCTTCTCTAATTGTATAATAGTTACCATAGTATAAACAAACACTTTATCTGTGAGAGCTGTATACGTCTCTAATTGATATTTTCTTCCAGCCTTAATCTTATAGTGTTGTACCTAATTCTGTTTAATTATTGTAAACATATTGTTATTGTACCTTATATAAATAAATAAATAAAATCTGAATCACTTTTCATTTTGTTGATTCTGATGATGATGAATTAATTGAAATATGTTTTTATTTTAGGAACAAAATGTAATTAATGTAATTTTATTAAATTAAACGATAAATATTATTTTGTAAAAATGTTTGTATATAAATATATAAATATTAATGTTTAATCATAGTGATAAACGACTGAGTGGATTTTAATAAAATTTCGTACTCACATGCTCTATATCTGCCGTGTAGTCCCGGCATACATAAATAATAGAAAAAATAGTTTCAAAAATAATAGAATTTAAATATTGACCTATTACACTTAGGTAATGGTGATAAGAAAAATAATTTCTTAGCGTATTTCATCATCTATATCTCAACATCATATCAGCTGTAGTCTGTCCACTGCTGAACATAGTCCTCCCCTGTAGACTGCCACGAGAGATGGTCCTGAGCCACCTGCATCCACTATCACCAATACAACATCTACGTCTACAACACAGTAACTAATAGTTTTATAATAATTGTAATTAATTATTGTTATAAAACTTCTATTAAATAATAATATTAATTACCAGAGGGTAATAATAATAGTAATAATATGAATTACTTTGTACAAAAGTCGATTGCTTGGATACCTCTGTCCCATTCGTGTTTCTACCGGGAAGCAGTTGTGTTTGCATGGCTGTGTTTCGGTTTGAAGGGTGGGATATGGCGTGAATTTACAGGGTACAGAGGAATAACATCCGAGTCCTCAGAAATGGCAATGCATGGGAGGTATCATGGGTGAAATGTTATGTCCATGGTACTGCTCATGTCTATAGACGACGGTTGACACTTTCCACCATTCTAAGTTGTATATTATCTTAATAATTAAAATCCCACGTCATTCTATTCGTTCACGTTAATCACCAAACCAATCCATCAATATTATACAATTAAATTTCGTAAATATGTATTGTTTGTTTTAACTTAAGATGGAAACATACAGGTAACCTTTCTAACTAACCAATCTCAGCCATTCGGTATATCCTGATCACGAATATACTTAAAAAATAATGGATCATTAAAAACTAATGAAAAATAAACAAAAAAAGATTCTTTAATAAGAAATTTTATTTAATAATTTCATTAAAATATTGTCAGAGATGTACTAGATTGTTTCTTTACAACATTACAAAAACAATAATTTATTACAAAATACACTTATAACTTCAATCTATTACAATTATTTTGTGCGTTGATCATTCATTTATGTATTTAAATAAAAATTAATTAACAAATACTTAACTCTAATAATCTCATAAAACTCTAAACTAGGAGATTCGATGTCTTACAAACAGTACGGATGTTTTATATTGCTTTATAATTTATATTACAAGCTAAGATTTTAATATAAAATTAAGTATAGCTAATTCTAATTCAACAACACTGTAAAAATGCTAGAAAAATGTTCACTAAGTATTTGTACAATTTTTATTTATTTTATCTAATAATCTCAGAGGTTACACGCTAAATAGACAATATCATCTCTAATTTAAAGGCATAAAACACATTTTAGTCTTAACAATTCGTAGAGGCACATATTAAACTCCCTTGTAGATAGAAATCCTTGTTAATTTTGTACACTATGTACATAAGGCACTTAAGTGATATACTTAAATAATTTTATATATAAATGCTTAACAGTAAAAAATTCATTATCGTGGAAGACGGCGAAACAGTTACAATATTTACATGATTATTCAATACGCAAGTGTCTTTTATTAAAAACAATGATCTTGTACTGTGTGTACTTATAAATTGTATTGAACTAACATTATTATAAATTTATAAATAATCAGTCTCCAAAACAGTTTAACAACCTTTACTTTCTACCACCAAGTAGGACAACGTCAAACAAGCAATTTCCTTTAGATTATACAGGTTAAATCGAAATAATTATAAATTGTCCACAATAACATGGCACGCCCCTCCAAAATGCAAAGAGTAAAATTGAATGAGTAAAAGTGTTTACAGGGTTTCGACCAAGAAATATAAATATTCCTGCTTTCCTGCTTTCCAAGAAATATAAATATACCAAGAATTATACTCCTCTGACTTGACCGTTTCTGAAGACGTTTCCTCACAAACATAGAGGATTACGTCTGTCTGTGGTCACAAATATTGATGTAAAAAAAAATTGGAAGGGCGTTAAAATATAATATGTATAATGATAAAATGTTTAGTTGCACTGACAAAACATTAATTTAGATTTCATCTTATATATACGATGTTTACTAATAATAAAAAAATTGTAATAATTTTTACTCAGTTCCCTGAGTAAAAGTGAAAAGGACCGATGATATTCCCGATATAGATACGGCAAAGACAGCAAATTATTAAATATTAAATTGTTAGGGAACAGACAGAATTGATAGTATAGAGATTTAATATTTTATTTATTTATTTATTCAATTCTTTATTGTACACACCAGTTATTTATAAAAATATGACAGAGGAATGTACAAAAAAATGTACAAAGGCCAGCTTAACTCTAATAGAGTTTTAAATAATATTATAAACGTAAAAGTGACTTTGTTTGATCATTTGTTAGACATTGGCGCCTTGACGGCTTAATCAATCTCTATGAAATTGGATATAAACATGCTATATGGGATTGTAGAATATAGGTTCATATTTGATTGGTGAATATATCTTGGTCACGCAGACAAAGTCAAGGGTAAAAGCTAGTATCAAAATATTGCCCAGTATTTAGCTAAATATACTATTTATTTATATTAAATTATCAAGAGCTTTCAATGATGTACAAATGTATATAATTTCGCGTAACTCAGCGAAGTTTTAGAATATATTTTACAATTAACCTACTGAATCATCTGGAGGTACTGATTTTCTTCATAAAACGAAGATAGTGACGTCTGGAGATCATTCACAACCATGTTGTCACCGCCCTGTGGGGGGTGAGTGCTGCTCGACACCATTTCAGAACTCTTCCAATTTTCGCAATTCTCCACGTATTCTAGCGTCCTCTGATAGGTTTCTTGGCGCATGCTACTATTTTGATTCTTCTTCCTACCATTCGTTGCTTCTATCTGCGACTGAGATATATCCCAAACCTGAACATCGCTTGCTTGCTGGTTATTCCCACTTCTCAAACTATTCATACTACAATCTGTTTGCTGATCACCATTTTTCATCATCTGATTACAATTTGAAGATGCCCTAGTAACACAATTTGGCTTCTGACTTCCCGTGGACATATTTACAGAATTCTGAACAGACTTCTGCATGTTGTGTTTGTTAAATTGATTACCGGGATAGTCCCATTGATTGTATGGTCTCTGATGGTTATAATACTGGTTATTGTTCATCATTGCTTGGTTATACTGATGATTATTCTTTGGTGGTGGTGGACCCATGACATTAGGCGCATTTACACCTGGATTTACAACAGAATTATAAGGCGGTGGTTGAGGGTACTGCATATTTTGACTGTATTGAACATTTTGCATTTGACTCTGTTGATCACAATAGTTATTTATCGCCCCCCTGCTCATGTTCCCACTATTGTCCACACTCATTACTGACGATCTTGACATCTGCAACGGATGTATCTGATTGCTTTGGCTCTGATAATTAATTGATTGTGAATAATTTACCATCTGATTGTTATTGTAGACCATATTCTGCTGATTTGGAGGCATTTGGTGTAAAACAGGCATTTGATTTTGATTGTATTGCTGCATCATTGGATACTGCTGCATATTTTGATTTCTTAAGTTGACATTTTGCTGATTCTGCATTGCAAACGGTGGCATTTGATTATAAGTTTGATTCTGATATTGAGTAGGGACATTATTTCTATTTGCTACTTTGGGATTACAATTTTGATGTGAATTTTTTATATAATTTGGAGGCACAGGTTGCATTTGAGTTGCTCCATTCATATTCATATTTATAACCATATTTTGATTTTGTGTCGGTGTCGGTGCATTCATTGCCATGTTTGGAATATTTTGTGCCATTGGATTTACTGCGCCTTGAGCCATGGGACTTTGAAGGCCAGGATGCATCGGACTTGGCATACCATGACTCATAGGGCTGGCTATATTTTGAGCCATAGGACTTGCCATATTCATCATAGGGCTTGCCATATTTTGAGACATTGGACTACCAACATTGTTATGACGAGGACTCATCATCATTTGTGGCATTTGCGGACTCATCAGGCTCTGCATACTTTGCGGGCTCATTGCGTTATGTTGGGGTGACATGACACTCATGACACTTTGTGGACTCATCACGTTATACACGCTCGGCGGACTCATTACACTATGAGACATATTATGGGGACTCAATACACTTCTTGGACTCATTGCCATGTGCGGTAAACTTTGCGGACTCATCATGTTATGTGGCATACTTTGTGGGCTTGGGTTTTGGGAACCCTTTGCTTTTGGACTCATTTGATTTTGCTTTTGAGGTAAAGTATTTACTCTCATCCTGGAGTGTTCCGTCTGATTTGCCGCCATCGTCTGTAATGACTGTAATGGATTATTTGTAGCAATACTATTTGCTGGTTGTGAATAGTCTTGTTCACATTTCTCTGTGCTAATTTCAGGAATAACTTGTTCTTGGAGAGGATTTTTGTCATCTGGTGATTTAGTAACTAAAAGAGAGCCACTATTACCCGACATGCTAACGTCTAATGATCTTAAATCGACTGGAATATCACTTATATTGAGATCACTTCCTATGGCACCTAAGTTTTTGAGTAGAGAATCGTCACTAGTCGCTACTTCACTGATTTTATCACTGGAATTGTTTGTGTTTTGTATTTCACTGCTTGTATTGTCTTTGGTTGCAATATTATTGTCTTTATTGGTCACTTCTGGATCAGGTGGATTGGTGGATTCAGTTTTTGCTGGTACTACCGATTCGGTTCCCAATATTGATTGGTTAAGATATTGCATCATTTCATCTGGTATTACCAGCTTATTTTCCACCATTTCTCCTTCTGCGACCTGTGGAAAAAAAAAACAAAAACATATTATTTCTTTATTTATACATTATTTTACACATAGAAAGTATGACAAATGTACAAAAGTTCTTTTTCAGCAAACCTAAATTGGAAAGGAGCATCAATGTCAGCGGATAGAGCGGTGTACAATACAAACAAAAAGAACTAGACAAACTTAAGTTTATACAAAATCAATTATATGAAATTTAATTATATACATACACTCATATGTAATAACATAATCATCAATATATACAAAAGGTATAAGTAGTTGTAGTATTATATACCTGTTCCAGGTTGACTTCTTGATTGGGATGATGGACCTGGGCAGTGGTGATTACCACAGTATTCGTGGAGTTTGAACGAGACTCCTTGTACGTCACAGCGTCGTGATCATTTTCTGTTTTGAATGCGAATGGAGCATCGCCCTGAAAAGGGTTAAACAAAAAGATTTTTTTTTAATTATATAGTATTGAAATAAATTTGAATAATTTTGATATAATTATCATATCAGCTGTCCACTGCTGAACATAAGCCTTTCCTATGAGGGGAGCTTTGTCAGTAATTTCCACGCTTGATAGGCAAGTTGGCAGCCGCAATTAGACTTTTAGAGATGTTTTAAGAGGGACTCTGCTGCCCATCCCTTGACCATTAAGCTCCCTAAGTCGCCTCTTACGACACCCGCGGGAAAGGAAGAGGTGGCCTATTCTAAACTGGGGCCACACCTTATAAAATATAAGATATTTTATAAGGTGTGGCCCCAATATGGCCAATTCTTATAAAATATAAGATATTTATCTAATTTCTACTAGAACTGCTTTAAAGTGGTTTTAGATTCATTTTTTAGGTTTGTATGGAAAATTTACTCTAAAAATTTGTACGGAAACTTGCACAAATTGGATTACTAATAATTGCGTGATGGTTTGCTAATATATTTATATACTACTTTAAAATTAAGTCTTTTTAGTATTTAAATTTATAGTACAATCTTTTATTCCATCGCATAAGAATTCTTAATCAGTCAAAAAGACTAAGTGATAACAAAAAAAGAACTATACTTTTTACTAGCAAAATAGTCAAAAATAAGTATAGTTAGTAAGGACTATAAATACTAACTTTTTACAACTTTGACCGATAAAGGGTTTGACCTCTAGATTATTTAAATTATTATTAATTAGATTAGATAAATGTTTACTTACCACATCATCAGTACCACACGGGTACGCCTGATACGCTTGGGTTTGGTCACTCAGATTGGACTGTTCAGAGAGGCGTCTCGCTTCCTCCTTGACCTGAACATTTGGATCCAGCTCCAACGCCAATTCTTCAGCTCTCACTTCCGAGCATGTTACTCCTCGGAGGAGGACCGCCTGATTTCCTTGAGACGTTCTGACAGCTTGAACAGCAGCGAGAGCCGAGGATGGCGGTGGAGCGTAACCCACGCAAGATACTTGACTAGATCTAAAAATTTTATCAAAATTTTAATTATAGATTAATATTGATTTACAGTAAGTATCTCTGGCCTCCTTGCTAGGAAAATCCTGTGTTATAAAGGTCAGGCTACCGCACTTTAAATAATTAAGTTTCTTATATAAAAAGGCATTACAGAAAATATAAAAATTAAGGGTAAACTAGAAATGTTAAATATTTTTCAAGATATAGAAAACAATAATAATAGATATGAATAACATCAATAATAGTTTGAAATAAAAAATTCAATAAATTTACTATCCTTATATATGTGAACTAGGCCATGTATCTATGAGTACAACTATTTGCATTTAGAAAATTTTAAGAGAATGTGGCAATAAAGTAACTGGGTACAAAGTAATAGGACGTTTGTATTTAGAAATAAAAAACATGAATAGGTGAATAGACGAAGAGACAGAAGTACCATGGGTATGGAGCCATAGATATAGAGAATGTACTGTGATACTCTACCGTAATAATTAATATACGTAAGCCACTAAATTATAATACTAAATTTGCATGCCTTTAGATAAGGCGAAATGTTCTATTATCTATATAAAGGATTATTACAAAGCAAAGCATTCTGTGAAGAGAATAGTAGTTGAAGTAAAGTGTAATAAAGCTATTACCTTTTTTGTTACTATGGCCCGCATGAAAAAAGGAAAATGTTGTTTTTATATTTTGCTTTTTGTTTTTTTTTTTTGTTTTTTAATTTTTTAATTTCCTTTACTGTGTATGTCTGTATTATGTGTATGTTTGTACTGTAATTTGTGTGTTGTAAGTAATGCAAATAAATTATCTATCTATCTATGTATTAAACTAAATAATGATATACATACCTTCGACTGCTATCAGGTGATAATTGATCATAAACCGCGGTTTGCTGCGTAACTAGTCGTTGCGCCGTGACTACGCCCGCTGTTGTAGCCACCGCCCCAGACACGACTGACGCTTGGCTGCTCTTACGGGATATATCTGATGACCTAGCAATACAAAAATAATTAAATTACATTTAGAAACTCCTAAATATCTGCTTATACCTAAATGCAGTACTTCTGTCCATTAGACCCATTTAGCAGTATTATAATTTTATAATTGACAGCTTCTGTGGCAAAGTGGCGGGCAGGTTGCTTTGCGTAAATAAGGTTCTGGTTATATTTAGATAGTAAAGACTACTTTAAGACAATGATAGGGAATTTAATCGGCTATTTAAATGCCATTAAATAAATATTTATACACAATAGAGGCCACAGACAGCCCTCTATGTCTAAATTGTTTTGACGAAACGGCTGCTCACGTAATCCAGGGAAACTTCGGTGCTTTTGGACGGATCTTGGCTGGCTGTACTAGCCACGGCTCATACGCACAACGGCCCAAATGAGAGGCTTGGTGCGAAAAAAGAATCCAATTTACATTTCTATAATGTTCTGGATTTGATACGCGGCCAGGACAATTTAGTAGTTAATTAGAATTAATAAAGAAAAAAATGCATTTATGTTAGTTAAGGTCGGTTTTATGTTATATCCTTTGTTCTTCGACTATGGTTATGGCTGTTTTCTTATCCTCATCATATCAGCCGTTAAGTGTCTACTGCTGAACATAACCCTCCCCATTGGGGAGTTTTTCCCGTAGTTGCCACGCTTGGCAGGCGGATTAACAACCGCAGTTAAAAAGAAAATACACAAAATTTTATTTTGTGTCTTATATAATTTGCTGTCTATTATATTCTCACAGCCAATTATTTGATTAGCAACTTACCTTGCACTATAGAGACTACTTCCAGAAGATATGCCAGAGTCTCGCCTGGTGTTGGGAGCGCCCGTTTTTAGTTCTACAGTTACAGCTGTATTACCCAGTTCCGTACGTCCTGGGATGCCGCCTGTGAATATTCATAAATATTTTTTTTATATTCTTTTTCATCAGGAAAGCTTGTTCATCATTTTAATTTGTAAAAAAAAATATAATCTGATAATATGGTGCTATGTACACAAACAATGTAAGTCGATTTCAGAACAGCCTCCTTTTTTAAATCTGTTAAAAACAGTTTAGTTTCTTACTAGTTCTTTTCCACTGAACTTGATTGGTAAGGTTAAAAAAATTGTATCCTAAAATCGTAGTAATATAAAAAAAATTAGAAAAATGTCTGTAAATAATAAGAGCAACAGAAGCTAAAACCATATTTTTATGTTAAATATTAATACAAAAGTTTGTACTATGTAAATGAATGATTCTAATTTCTTATTTACATTATCATATCAGCCGTCTCTCCACTTTTGAACATAAGTCTTTCCCTTGAGGGGTTTTGCCATTAGTTACCATGCTTGGCAGACGAAATGGCAACCGCAGATAGGCCTCAATGATATTCAAGTTAAGAGAGACGCTGCTTCATTACCCCTAAATCTTTAAATTCCCTTTATCACTTACGACACCCACGGGAATGGAAGCGGAGGCCCATTCTATTCTGGGACCATACGGCATACATACATGACTGAATACATACCTCCACCAATATCAGCGCCATGTCCAGGAGGCATCAGCCTTCCAACTCCCATTTTGTTGTTACCGAATCGTGGTGTGTGATGGTGAGCTCGGGGTTCACCAATGGCGACCATAGCGCGAAGCATCAGTGGTAACTGACCAACTTCACCCACCACTTCTTGTTCCACCTTAAAACAACAATTACGCATTAGAAAACGGAATACGTTTCCATTGTAATATACTATTGATTGGCTGATTCACGCATAATCGAAACTGGTGGTTTATGTATAATGAAATTTCGTACTGAAGTTCCTGAAGTAGGGAATTTCTGCCAAAATGTATTCACGGAGAATTTACAGAGTACAGAGATATAACATCTTTCTTTTCAGATCCTTAGAGACTACAGCATGGGGTTCTTCAAAAAGAGTTTATTAAGGTTTCTTCAGGGTTAGCAACGCGTACGTTGCAGTAACCGTTTACCAACAAACAAGCTGTATTGTTTGCCACCTTCGTAGTACAAAAAGAACTAACAAAAATTTCAGACCCATTTAACGTCTTCAAAATTCAAAGAATAAAGTAATAAAAATAAAAAAAAATGACCTTTGGAAAAAGAATATTCTTGATGAGATAACTTACCTCTCCGTCTAACCTAAAGTATGGAGCACCATTCTCGTCACTGAACCCACCGAGACCAGCACCACCGAAGTCCAGCTCCCCACCACACTGGGCAGACAACTGGAATATTCAAACGATTATATAAAAGACACGTATGTGGTAGAGGACTTAATTTACGTATATATTATGTTATTGAAGTAAGTACTAAGTTTGTTAAGTATACATTTGACATAAAAGCATGAACCCATTTGGGTATCCAATACAATTTGCAATAACTAGTTAATCAATTCTTAAAAGAAATATTTGATCTCATTTTAGCACTAGTATAAATTAAAGAGGTAAGTTATTCACCTGATGCGCAGGAGTATGTAAGCCAAGAGGCAGTGGTGATGCTGGACTTTCGCTCTTGACTGATGCTGAGGATGTGTGGCCTCTAACACCAACAGCCACTCCACCTTCTTCTGAACGTGGAGAAGAACCCGCTCCTCCACCTCCTGATTCTGCAGAGTCATCTCCTCGGCTACAACCTGTAGTAAAAGATTTTTCAAAAGTTATACCACAGGAAGACTTTGTACAAAAGTCGTTTGCTTGGGCGCCTCTGTCCTATTTCTGCTTCAACCGTGAAGCAACTGTGTTTGCATGGCTGTGTTTCGGTTTGAAGGGTGAAATATGATAGTGAATTTGCAGGGTATAGAGGAATAACACCTAAGTCCTTAGGAATGGCAACGTATGTGGGGTATCATGGGCGAAACTGTTATGACCATGGTACTGCTCATGTCTATAGACGATGGTTACCACTTTCCATCACCTGGACCTTCAGCTTGTTTGGCATTCTAAGTTGCATAAAAAAAAGTGATTAAAGTCTTCCTTACATAACAAACTCTTACAGCGATATAATCGACAAACAAACTCAAGGTACCTTTATGTTTCTTACTGGCGTAGAATTCAGCACCATGAACGGTTTTCACGTGTTTCCGAAGCGATGATGGGTCAGTGTACCTCTTCGTACAACCTGGTGCTTTGCACACGTATGGTTTCTGAAAAACAAATTAAGATTTTACTAATCTACGAGTACGTAAACTACGAGATAGTAAACTAACGTTTTATGATACTGGGTAAAGTAGTTGAAGCATTGTAAGTTAACGGTTACCAATATGATACCAAGTTTACACTTAGCAGTAAACACTGAAATAGTATAATTCAAATAAAAAAAAAATAAGAAACAGAATTTCAAAGCCATTAGTGATAATTATGACGCCATGAAAGCCGACTGGCCTTCTTAATATATTATCAAGATCTAAGGCGAAATTTAGCCATCACCTTTTATTATAACGATACTGATTTCTTACTCACCTCATTACTATGTGTCCTGTTTTGATGTTTCGCCCTATCGCTGGCGTTAGAGAAGGCTTTCGCACAACCAGGATACTCGCATGTATATGGCTTTTCTCCTGTGTGACTCCGAAGGTGGGTTTTTAGGTTTTCCAGACGTGAATACGCTTTGCAACATCCTTCGAACTGGAAATACAAGAGGCAATACATGTCAAGTTAGTTAAAAAAATAAAATGTCTAAAATCATCTTCTGTCCAGAGACATTAAATTTTTAATGACTGTATTCTTAGATCTCATACTATGTAGTACCCTCTGTAGTACCAAAATTTTGGAGTCTATACGTTTTTTTTTTAATACTAAGTACTTCAGTGCTGACAAGTATTGGAATCATTAAATTTAATCATAATGTGACATTATGATAATTTATTAAAGTGCCAAAAGTATTATTATTGTAGAAGGCAATTACATCATAGAAGTATACTTACAGTGCACTTATGGGGTTTTTCTCCCGTATGTCTCCTCATATGCACAACCAACATGTATTGGGCTTTAAATGGCTTTTCATCACGGGAACAGCCAACCCAGCGACAGACGAAGGCCTTTTTGCTAGCATGAATGTGATCTGTATTTATATGTTTCACCAAGTCATCTTGAGTTGGAAACTCTAATTTGCAGTCCACCTGAAATAAAAGACAAAATTTTACTCGTAATTTTAATACATCATAGTATTAAACTCTGTTAAGGGTCGGTAACATGCGGGTGACATCTCTGGGATCTAAAAGCTACGGTAACACCGTTTACCATCAAACGAGCCCTATGCTGGTTCGTCACTATAGTAATATCAAAAAAACTTATGTACGGTAATGGTAAACATATATTATCTCGCATTTTATGTTTATGTCTTGTGATTTGTGTGCTGTAAGTAATGCAAATAAATTATATGTCTATATATCTACGGGAATCTCTAGATTTTATAAATTAATAATAACAATAATTAACTTCATTTTGAAGTTAATTATTGTTATTATTAATTTATATTAATTTGTTTTATATTAATCTGTTGCGATCATTAGAGTTACAGATATTAGTGACTTTGATAATGGATAAAATGAAGAACTGATTTGTACATGTAATTTTTTTTCTAAAAAATTCTAAGCCATTCTTCTTAAGGTACCATCTTCTACCGGAGGTTGGCGATCAGAATGGCAATCTTAACATCGTTCAACGCCTTCCTGAAAAGGAATCTGGTAGTAATTCTGAAGCACTACCTTAGATCTTTTAACCAGTAGGTTCGGCATCCTTCTGTTTTGCGATAACTTTAGCCTAAGCCATTAAATGGACCCAAATTTCAAGATCTTTAACAGAATCCTAACAATTATTGTTGAACTACGATGGACTTTTTTTTTAATTACTTTACATAACACTCACCCAATGACAGTTCGTCTCAATAAAATCTCCGGGTTCATCTTTGGAGTCCACTCCATCGTGGACGGTGCTTTCTGCTGCTGCTGTCAATGGCTTATTGCTGTGATGATTATCTCTATTCATAAGGCTCTGTGGTGATTTCCTCTGTATTATATTTGAGGCACTATCAGCTTCCATTATGCTGGTCACTTCTGGTTGAGGCGGTTGCTGCATATGCTGTGGCGGTGTCCCGTCTAGTCCCAAACCTGGTCTGACATCGACTGGTGTACCCATTAGAAGTTGAGTTGGAGATGATATGTGAGATCTGATGACAAAAAAATGGCATTATGTAGTTTTAAAAAACACTTACTAATATTTTAAATGTGAAAGTGAGTTTGCTTATCTTTTGAGGCCTTAAACCAAATATTATGAAATTACTGAATGTTTCAAAGTTAATATAAAATAAATAAAAAAAAAAAATATTTGATTCGTTTAAAATTATTGCTAATTGCTTTGTGCTTCAGAGGACATGTACTCGTAATTATAATGGGTCAAAATGGAATAGTGATCCCGCTTGTGCTATACGCTGACGGGGCATTAGTAAAGGATGATAGGTGAGATGAAAAAGCAGGTCAGTTTCCAGGGGGATCCACGTGGAAGTCGACCTGACAGGGTATATTACTAGCAATGGGATTTGTAGACAGCATTACTAACAATCCCTTTCCCCCCTCTCAACATATATTTGGTATGGTTTACTGTTAAGGGATATTATTGCTGGCTCATCCACTTGGTGCGATATCAAAAGTGGTAGTGGTGGTAGTAGTGATAATAATAATAATAATTCACCTGTGAATTCCAGCGACTAGATGCGCGTGCGCAGCGTGGTGTGCTGCCGCAGCCGCAGCTTGCTGGTGCGCCGGGTCTAGCAACACCCCGCCTGCCAGCACCCCACTGCTGCCCACTACGCCGCCTCTCGCCAGCAACTGCTGTGCAAGCGACGCGTGCGACAGTGACAATGCTGGTGATATCGCTCCTAGAAATATTAAAGACGTTATTAGAGTATCTAATAAAAATATTTATTATACAAGTATATTTTTAAGTTTTTTTTTTTTATTTTTTTATACGACTTAAAATGGCAAACAAGCTGACGGCCCACCTGATGGAAAGTGATAACCGTCGCCTATAGACACGAGCAGTACCATGGACATAACAGAGCCCATGATACATACCAGATTTTATGATGATGAGTCGAGCCATTAAGACACTGAGAGATAACAAACAAAACATTGATAAGATTACATTGTATTGTATTGTAAAATATTTATTGTATACAATTCATACTGAATACTTTAAAAGATTTAATATATAATAGCGGACTTATCCCATAAAGGGATCTCTCACAGTCAACCTTTGAGAAGCTGAAAGAAAACTGTAGAATGTACAAGGGTAATAACCGTACAGCTAAAGATTAAGTAAATAATACCCAGTAAAAATTGTATATATAATACAATAAAAATAACTGTATACATCTACATATTTAAATAATAAAAGTACATAAATAATAATAAACTTACCTACATATGTAGGTATGAAACATAAATATCAATTTCTCACATTCAAAGCAAAAGAAAGAAGTGTTCAAAAGAAGAATAGAAATTTAGTTTACCAGCACTAAGGTGACCATAACTTCCAGTGGATGCGGCAGATGGCGCTCTCACTGCCAAGCTGGCGGGCGATGCGCGGATTACTGCTGCCAAGTCGAGGGACTCGGCCGAGTAAGGACTCCAGGACACCGCCCGTTTACGATTAGCTGAGGCACCGATCGCACCTCCTGATAACCTCAAGCGGGTGGGAGAGGCTATTCTTGAACCTAGAAAGTTTTTAGAGATATTTTTTATTTAAATTTCATAAGCGCAGTTTATAAGTATGTTACTCGCAATACAGCCGTGAACCGTGCTCATGAATAAGGGTTGCTATTGAATCTGAAACTAGTCGGACATCCTCGAATTTTAAAACGTGAGTAAGGCCGACATAAACAATTACAATAGAGTGTAACTCACGATAGTTATTATTTAACAAGTGGCATATTATGAAACTAAAATTTTGTGTAAATATACAAGTAACGCCTGCTAAACATGGTAACTACAGGAAAACTCCCTTTATGGGGAAGGCTTATGTTCAATGGTGGACAGCTAGTGGCTGATGTGATACAAGTACAGTTTTATTCAATAACTTATGAATAATAGTCATGTAAACTTTTTCTTAATGGAAATATTATTGAAGTATGAAAACCTTATATTTATCCTTATAAATATTGGAGTATTTATTGTGCAATAATAATTCTATGAATTAAAATATTTGAAGCAAAAGGATATCTCTACGCCATGTCGGAATATTTTTTTTTATGCAACTTAGAATGGCAAACAAGCTGACGGCCCACCTGATGGAAAGTGGTACCCGTCGCCTATAGACATGAGCAGTACCATGGACATAACAGAGTATACTGTTTTGCCCATCATACTCCCCATGCGTTGCCATTCCTGAGGACTCAGGTGTTATTTCTCTGTACCCTGTAAATTTACGCCATATCACACCCTTCAAACCGAAACACAGCCATCTTTTTTCTTATATGCTCTTCTATCGAGCAATAACAACCTTCGCTAATGAACACGATGTATTTTTGCAATTCCTCATTTTGTATTTGACCTTTTCATGAATATATTAGAGGACTAAATGTAATGAGAGATAAAATAGGTGTTAATACAATAAAGTTTCATTAAGATGTGACCATAGTGAACTTATAAACTTATGGCATCATTGCATAGTAGCAGCCAACAATAAGCCTTCATTTATTATTAATAAAGTATAATATTCTCCTGTCTTACCATCTAAACTTAATTGAAAATCTTGACTGGCGAGGGTACTGCTGGCATGCAGCTCTGGATGTAGACTCCTTGCTGCACTTAAGTACTCTAAACCTGCAAACAATAAAAAAGAAAAAAATTAATACCTTAACAAATTAATTTCATTAAAACTTATAATATGCAGTGAAAAGACTTGATGATATTTAAAACAAGTCTTTTTTTGGTGATAGTAAAAATTTCTTGTGATGGCTAGATATTACTTATGGGAGTAGATTGAGGAAAGTCTATGTTACAGATAACAATATCAATAACACTATTGCATAAATTGCATCTCCCGTGTTGAATGGTTAAAGTTTGGATGATTTTAGCTAAACACGACAAAAATTTTCAGATTTGAATCTTTTTAAATTCAACTTTATCTAGTTGTAGTGTGTAACATTCCTACATACTAACGATTGTTAGTAATTTAAGGACAGCAACTTCTGATGTTTTAATATAAAAAGGTATAAAACGTTTTCCTGGGCTAAATCTTGTATATACTTGCCTACACATTACATAGCTTTTCGAAAGAGAACAGCAAAGACTTTTTTAAATTTAAACACAATGCTTGAACTGCAATTCTGTTTTGGGATTCTCAGATCAAAGCCAATCGTTTTTTCAACCAATATAAATCTGGCACTTTTTATTAATTTGTTCATCCCAGTTACACTTCAATGACCACTGATTATCCATTATACTATAGTAGGTATATTCACAGAATATTCAAATCATTTCCTCAAAGCCAATGTTAATGAAGCATGAACAGCGATGGGATTATATAATTTAGTTGCTATAAATTCTCGTTTGAAATATACTGAAATTGGGTATTTTTCGTTTATGAATACCTACTATTTCAAATGTAAGCATAATTATATGATTTATAAATAAAACTATCAAACGATAGCAAAAAAGCAGCAAAAAAACGTAAGTTATAGATGTCTGTATATGGAATTCAGCAGAACGCTCATTCCACGCCTCTAGAAATCCATTGGAAAAAACTCCCACAAAACAGCAAAAGGAACAAACATCCAAAAATCTTCGCAAATCTATTCATCTATATAAATTAAAATGAATCGCTTAAAATGTGTGGATCGCAACTCGCGAAAACGGCTGGAGTAATTTGGATGTATTTTTTTTAAGATTCATTGAAATTAATGGAAGGTTGTTATGAAAAAGTGGCTGGAAAACCCCTTAAAACCCCGTAAAGATCCCTTTTTTACATAGAAACTATACCACGCATAGACGGAGTGATACAGTCTACTGATTTTTTACAGAACCAAAACTTATGTGCTAGTTTTTCCTATTTAAAAAGAAACATAAAGACCAGGACAACATACGATGTGTGATGTTATCAAAAAATTCCACAGGTATAGTCGCAATCGCTTTTATTTTTAACGCTTATAATGATAATATGATAGGCCAATAAAATGTTAACCCAATTCTAAAAATTGGAACACGAAACTCGCTATCGTTAATTGGAGTGCGGCCACGCGGTCACAAAACAACAATGTTGTTTTAATTCTATACTTGATTGGTAATAAATTGCGAAATTTGATCAATAAAACTTTAAGACGCCTGCTTAACAAATCATCAATAAAACCGATTCGATGATTAAAATGACCCAATGAATAATAAAACTGACAAACCGATATGACTTTGTCCGGACACGACGTCGTGTAATATTTTTACACCGCTGCCCAAAAAATGATGCACTGTTTTTTAAGTTTAAAAAAGTTAATAACATGAAAGATGACGCCTACAGGTGCCATAATATAAGGCGTGATGTTGCTTGAAGAAAAGAGATTGAGTAATTTGTCAATAGACAGCGTTACTTTCGTAATATAACTAAGGTCGCACTTGGATCAAATATCTGAAAGATGCTGATAAGTGTGAAAGAAAGAGTTATCGATTGGCGGTGGTAAATATTAAACTCGATTTAGTATTTAGATAGATAGATAGATAGATACTCTTTATTGTTTCCTCCAAAAGATTACAATAGTAAACTTATTATAAATTTTAGTATTTAGGTATTTATATTGTAGTTGTATATAATTACTTATTATTGTAATATTGATACGAAATATTGTTTAATTTTAATTAGGTATCATTAGTTTTAACTTTAGCTGAACAATTTTTAACCCTCTTTTAGGTTCTCAAAAATTTTCTGTAAGAGATCCCTCTATGGGATAAGTTCGCCACTGTATATTAAATCTTTATAATGTATCCAATATAAAATATGAAAGATCAACAAAAACAGCAGCCGACTATGGATTTGTTCTAATGCGTTGTATGTAACATTTGATAAACATAAATCTCATCTCCTCGTTTAATAAAATTATGTCTACCTTATATAAATTATTATAAACATACATATTTGCTTATTACAGTTTAAACAAAATAAAGAAATTTAATAACCTAAACGAAATATAAACTTCGTGTAAAATAAACTATAAACATTTATTAAACAAAAACAAGGATACGATGTAATTTATACCAAATGGTGCTATATTAATAAGTTTCATTGGACGTATCCTTCATCAAAAGGCGTTCTGACTAACAAATTTCCTAAATCACATATATGATACGTTCGAAAACAAACACCGTTCGGTCGAAACCGAAAAAAAGCAAAACCTATTGATTTGTCGATCACGCGTTCGTTGTCGACGTTCGCGGGCTCTCATTTTAGCCGAAATAATAGGCCAGCTCAAAGGCGTGAGCGACCACCAATTTGCCGAATAAGCAACCAAATAAGAAAAATTTGATTCCCGAAACCGCACGAAAATAACGTATGTGGTCCGCGTTTGACGCGCCGCCGTGGAATCGAGATTTTTATGTCTTCATCTATAGCTGTACAGACAGAAACGTCCATGTTACTGTCCTCAAAAATGAAGAAAAAACAATCCACGATCGATTTAAAATCGAGTCCGTTTCGAATTCCATTAGCTGGATGGTCACCCTAACGACATTGGTATAACCGCGCGCAAAAAGATTCGAATTGTGTTCCTTTTTTCGATTAACGAATATTGGACGGTTGGCTGGTTAGGTTAGGTCGCTTTTTGCTCGTTAGATGTACGGACCGATTTGGAGTTGATGTATTAATTTTTATCGGATCCGATTGGGCGTAAAATTGGTATCTCGAAGTCTAGTGGTACCGTGGTCACGTTGAGCGTTGAAATATGAATGTCAATAGCTCCATAGGGCGGCGTCTTTGGACCGAGCGGCCGGAGTGACTTTGTAACGGCGTATACTAATGAGACTTACTAAATTATGAGTTTCGGTTGTTATTCGAATGTGCGGCGAGATGAAGGCGTTACGACGTGAATTTGTAATGACGGCATAGGTATTTTTTATGGCTGCCTTTTAAATATTCACGGCGGTGTATTAGATATAATATTTGAGTATTTATGTCACTTAATCGCGGGCTGTTGAGCTTTTATTAATGTATAATCACTTCCTTACATTATACTGCTAGTAGTAGCAGTATAATGTAACACATACATATCGTACTCGTTAAATTTACAATTTCCATTGCTGAACACACCTACTACTAGATACTCGATAGATATAGCCTTTGTTACTTGTTCATATTGTAGCATTTTATAGGTGAAAGAATTTTTAAAATCGATTAAATAGTTTTTTAGTTATCATTTAAAAAGAAAAAAACAAATCTTTTCTCTTTATAATATTAGTAAAGATTGTATCATTTTCTAATTTATTTTTGTGTCTTATTTCAGTAATATACTATATAAAATAGTAGCAAAGAGACTAATTCAATTTTCACATCCATAATTAGTAAGAATTTCTGAACCGATAAAATCCTATAAAATCGTAACATATAAGAAGCAATGTCCATAATAGCTATAGCGTCAGAACGTTTAAAAAACTCGCTCATTAAACCATCAGGTGTCATAAAACGATTAGTGAGAACATGATTTGGGGTACGGCAAAAAACAAACGGCGGGCACTAACGAGGTTTTTATACTGTAATCACCGGGGTGATACTGAGGCAGTATATGACACGTATAATATAGAGATAGACAGCTGTCTGTAGCACAAAAAACGCGTTAAAATTCACAAGGATCGTTATTATTATGGATCTCAATTGAGTACTGTCATTTTTATTTCTAAAACTTTAATAACTACCTATCTTTAGACCCTATATATAATACATGGTAAGCAGATCGATTACTATATTTCTACTGTAGTATTTTTATTCGTATTTGAAATATATTATACATTAATTTTTATTCATAAGGGAAAGGGATTGGTAGTAATGGGGTCTAACAGTCCCATTACTAGCTATATAGTATATATATAGCTATATAGTATATACGGGTAAGTCAGATATGACATATAGGATAGAAATTATGGATAGGACCTAATAGATTAGGTCCACCTCCACGCGGTTCCTCCTGGAAACTATCATTGTTAATTCTTTTCAAATTCATCACGATGGGCTAACTGATTTGCTTTCATCCTCACCTATCATTTCTCAATAGTATCCCGCCAGCGTATACCGATAGCGCAGATGGGGTTACCATTTAATTCTCATCCATTAATAATAAATTGTTACTCATGACTTTCATTACTTTGTCATTCCTTAAATTTTATCTGTCTTCATAAAATCATACTCTCACTACATCTACATTGTTTACTTTTGGTAGCATAGCACTGAAACTAGAGAAAAATGATTTTTTTTTCTATCAATAAGAAAAGATAATAAGAGTAATTCTATTCCACCTATCAAAGTCATTACGAATATTTTTTGTCCTTGCAAAATTAGTGGAGCTAAATTAAATGTATCTTTTATTCATCAAAATTCTCAATTACAAATGCAAAATTAATATGCTTGTTTAATGTATTTAACCGCAATACGATTAAATTACATAACCAATTCTGCCCAAGGAGTAATTTCATATAAATGTAGTTAAAACATACAGTGAAAGATAGTATTACGATTATAATATATTATTTACTGTCACATATTTAATAAAAGATGGTAAAATTACAGATCTAACAACATAATTATTCACGAAACGATCTATAACTGTACTCTTTCCGCTCTCTACATCTTA